CCTACCCGCCACCGCCACAGCCAGGCGGGTACCCCCAGCAGCCTCCTCACAACCCACAAATGGCACCGGCTGCCCCTAGTGCCCCACCCCCTTACCCAGGGGGACATCCGGCACAGTATCCCAAGTATTGATGTCTGTTCAAAGGCATTCCAAATAAAGATGTCTTATTCAACATTCCGTATAAGGATAAGTAATTCAACATCCCGAACTAGCATAGCTCATTTAAGGTGATATAAAAAAGGACTTAATTTGCAGAATGATTAAGTGAATGCATACATGTACATATACATTGGCATTATCACAATGCTTTTTTTCCTTATATCTTATGTCAGCTTATGAATTTTCTGAAAAATTCACGCTATTCCTCCCCCAATACATGATCACAATGTGATAATCTCCAATATTTTTGCAGACTTTTGTATACTTTTTAAAAGTTCAAAGAAGATGAATGCCCAGTAAAATTGCTAGACCAGTCTGCAGATTTGCTGAAAACCCTGAATAACGTAAACACAATTTTGTTTGTTTTTTGTTTTGTTTTGTTTTTTAATTATTATATTTAAAAACGACATGACTTTTATCTGTTTTAATTTCATTTTTAACCACTTACACAGCTAAAAAAACAAGGATTTATCCTGAGCTTCCACCTGTATTTTGGAAATCTTTTAACAGCTACTTACTAATTTAAGGATTGTTTATTTATTTAATTATATATTTAATGTAATATTAGTGCGTCTGAATTTGTTATTAGATTCAGTGAACAGATTTGCTGAAAATGTCAAATAGAAAAAAACAAATTCTTTTCCTTTATTATGCTTTTAAAGGATATAATACAAGATTCAAGAGAAGTCTAATTTAAAAAGAACATCGGACTCAGTGTGTTCATCAAATGAACTAGATTGTAGCTTAATTATTGGATATATATTCTACTTCTTGTGAAATTACCTTACCAATTTATTCAGTGAAAGGTGTCGACTAAAGCTTCAGTGTAATAATAATGATGATGATAATCATTGTTCTTGTGGTTGTTGTTCATTATTATTGTTATTAAATGCCTTACACCGCTCCTTAATTTTCTGAAAAACACCACGTTCTTCTCATTAAGTACAGCGTAACTTCCTCATTATTCCTTATCTTTCCTATCCATATTCATATATTTCAGTTGTTTTATCATTTCTTCGTTTCACATCTTGTTGAAAACTTTGGCATCTTTTTGACTTCCGAACTTGGTTCTAGTACTGTTTTAAGTAGGTTATACAAAATGAGATCGGTAGTCCATTTACCGTCTACAAGATAGAATATATGCCCAGTAAAGAAAACCCGTTAATAAACCTTAAACCTTGGTATAAAGTAAAGAACGATTCTTTAGCAAAAATCATTTTGTAAAACAGGCCCGAGTTCTCTATTTCAGTCTACTACTGAAGATTCACCCTGAGGTGAAGCAGGCTTAAAGTTGGGTCTGAAAATCCCAAAACCGAAAACGCTATTTTTACACCAAAATGTCGCTCCAGCGTCACCTGTTAGACACTGCCCTTAATCTGTGTATTTAATTGGTCTTTTGGGGAAGTGCATTATATATATATATATATATATATATATATATATATATATATATATATATATATTTTTTTTTTTTTTTTTTTTTTTTTTTATAAGAACAGGGCGTTGTTTCTGTTAAAATATTCCTTTTTGCTACTTCTGGCCTTAAGACAAAGTTCGGAAACTCGGTGTGTTAGTGTGCTTAGGTACGAGTAAATTTCAGGTCACGAGCCCTGTGTGATCAGAGCCAAGTAGTTGTATTGTGAAGACTCCTAGAATTATCTTCTGTCTGCATGGAAAGCCATGGTACATGGAGTCCTACATGTACCAGCAAAGAGGAACAGAGAATAGTTGGCAGCCGAGGCTCAACTGAGGGAGGGGCACATAAAAAGAAGGGCGGGCGAGTTTTGGGCCGAGTGGTCGTTTTATTTTATTTATTTTTTAACCCGATTGTTTGGGTAGAAAACCATCACTTTTTTATGTCTGACATCTTACTAGCACACTTTTACCACCTACAACCCTAGGCTCGCGTATTTGTAAGAGACCATGAATTCGAAATCCGTTGCCAACACCGGGGTTTTGTATCACGTGTAAGGTTGGGCTATTGCCTATATGCTCCAGATTATGATCCTCTGCTGTACATAATCTTTATGTGTGTGTTAAGCAGTTTTGGAAGGGGCTTTGCACGTAAACTTATGCTCGAAATAACAGTCATTTAGTTTACATGGGGGTTGGTAGAAAATCATGGTAACACTTATTAATGTGACCATGAAATATATAATCTCAAGAACAAAGCAAAGATGAACCCCTTTGCAGTAAATTTAATTTCAAGAGGGTTAGGGTTATCGTTGTAGATAAAAGACTGGATGTAAGTTTGCTTTGGCGTCATTGATATAAAATAAATTGTTTTTCGTCTGTGCATCAGCTTATGCAAAGAAGACTAAAAGAAGTTTTAGTATAGTTGTCATAGTATATTATAATGAAAACGTCTGATATTGGGCTTCGTTATTGATTTTTAAAAATATTTTCATTTCCTCTTCTCATTTTTTCTTTCTTTTTTGTTTTCTTTGCATTTTAGTACTACATGTATATACTAGCGAGAAAGTGAAAATGAAAAAAGGGATCCTCCACACTAGTTAGCAAAACTTGATTTGTTAGAATCATCTATTTTCTTATGGACAGTCCCACATCCAGGCGCACTAGAATTCTGAAGTCCCCCCAGGACTTATAAACGGATTAGGTGTTTACTTGCACTACTTGCAGATCTTTTAGCACTAAAACCCATATTATCAACAAAACATGCGAATTAACAAACACATCGTACACTTATCGTACACTTAACAAAGCAATACCTAACACTAACATCCAACTGCTCTGGTAGTGCTAGTTAATCTGTGGATTATGTTTTTTATATGGATGTTAGTGTTAAAAAGATCTGCGAGTAGTGTTAGTAAACGCCTAATCCGTTTATAAGGCCTTCCCTGGTGATAGGTCTATTAATACCCAATAATGTTTCAACTTCCTCACTCAAAGTGTGTAGGGGGAGATATCAGAAATTACAATGTTAGAAGTTAAAGTAACCCCCCTCCAAGGAAAGCCCCGCCTGATTGTGGGTTTATCGATCCCCTAACCTCTAAAGCTTTAAGCTCCTCATTTTTAGAAATGGTCTTAGATGGAACAGCAGAAATTACAGTGCTAATATCAGTAGAATCATCCACCCGGTAGGGGGAGCTTATACGATAGGCCTATCAATCCCCAAAATTTTAGCTCCCTCACTTTAACGGTCAAGGAGGAGATTGTGGAAATTACTAACGCACGGACATAAGAAGAGACGGTCGGACGGAAGGGCGGGATAACATGATCTCTAGCTTTTGTCACAAATTGGCAGGGATGATAACTAGACTGTCTTTAAAATTTTGTCTTTAAAAGGTGGACAATCATGGGCAATGATCATCAGTGAAGACCGCTTTTCTAAATACGGTAGTTATCTGTGCCTGTACATCTTACCGCGTCATTACATGTACGAGCAGTAACGTGAAACGATGAACACGTGCAAATGCTACCCGTATGGAATTTTATGTTACTATGAGAAATGCACGTTATGTTACAGGCGAATATTTGCCACTAGTGCATTTTGTGTTGAATTTTTTCCAAATCAAACGTGAATGACTGTTGCCCTACATAAAACAAGCGTGCACGCAAACACACACACACACACACACACACACACACGGTTTTCTTTTTAATCTGAAATAACGATCATATAATTATTTTGTTGTTTTTTTCTTCTTATTACTTGTTTGCTGCTCTCTATGTCAGTAACACAGTTAAACAACCCAACGCCAATTAATTCGATCCCTTGAATTTCAATTTGCTTCTTTACTAAAATTGTTCCCAAAATATTTCATTCTTTCTGCAAAAATAGATTGTCATCATGCACGCGATAATCTATCATTTTCATCATAGCCTAGCCTAACTTGTTATTTCGGGCAGTTGGCTTTTGGACTGTTGCATGGTTACTCTAGTGTGTAACCAAACAGTTATATATATGATATACACATTGGATGGCAGGTTCAGAGGATGGAAGTTGAGAGGGGAGTCGAGTAAAGATTTCTTTTTCTTAAAAATAGCGCCATGGGTGGATTAGCCTCACGTGATAATGCCAAAATGCCGATAATGAGGGGTTAATAACTCGATCGAAATACTAGTACATGTACCATTCGGTACACCATACGATCTGCTCTAAACCGATTTTGAGAACATATGCACGGTAGTCTGACACGGGTGCATGCTCAAACGTGAAATCTGAATTAATAGCTGTAGGCCTATCGCAGATTTATGCTGTAAATAAGTCCCAATCTTAATAATACAGAGGCCTATATGTTTTGCCAAAATTCTCTCCCTTTCTACATATGTTTTTCCTTCCACTTTTTTAATGGAGATTATTTTTGTATTTAATTCCCTTTTCAAAACTTCATTAAATTGGACTTTTTTATTGACATCACAAAACAAAACATAACGGCCTACATTTTTTTACATTAAACACATATTACAACAACAGACACATAAATTATAGCATACAGTAGTCTCATTGGACGTTAACAGCACTAATAAAGGGGAGTGACAGAATATACGTTGCACAAAATTACAGTAGTAGGCCCCTAACAGTAGGCCTATATAGGCCTAATACCTGAATAAAGTCGCACATAACACGAACTGATTTACATATATGTATATCGTGACATATAAACAAACAAACCAGCTTATAAGCATATATGAGTCATACCGGATTCTACACATTACAAAACTAACATTTATAATATACCAATATCTTTTTTATGGCATTCAGAGCAACTCATACGTCTGCAAACCTTCACCTTGCATATTACATATTACATAATAATAAAAGGTCAATGAACTACTGGTATTGTTTCGCATGCGCGCAAGAAAATAGGTCAAGGACGTGACTGCATGTTGCTGCTTTTAGTTAATCACTGATGTGTTAAGTCTTTCAAATAAGCGTGGATTGAGTGAATAGTGAGAGCTGAGGAGCGTGGATTGTTAACCACCAAATCCTAGGCAGTCATCCCTACAGGTAAGAACGAGAATTTGAGAAATGTCTCTGCATTTCCATGCATTCTGATCTACGCAGCTGAAATGCATCTGTAGGTCTACAGTCATTTGAGGTCAGCGTGTGCACGGAGATGTCAGTTAATGCGGAAGGTATTATATAGATCGGCGTTCTTTTAATACCTTAACCAGTGTACCCACGAGAAGTGGTGATAATATTAGAGTTGGGGAGAAAGTGTCTCGTAAAATGTACTTCTTTGGGGCTGATTTTTGTTGCTGAGGTAGCGTCATTGGTAACGACTGCCTGCATTTAAGCGAGGTCGGTGTACGGAGGCCTACGGTTGGTTTAAGGGTGCATTCACTGAAATTCACTTCTGCTATCTTTTAAATAATATTGTTACTATGCTTCAAATGACACTATACATTGGAATCCCTGAGAAATGTGGGCAGCTTAATGTCAGGTGCGATATGGTAGGCGTGATATAGAATAGGCCCCATACAGGGTTGCAATTATTTTTAAAACGCTGTTAACTTAGGCGTACAGTGCCCCTTATTCACAACCGTCTCTTAGGCAGCGTCATTAGCCATTTAAACCGGAATTAATGCGAAAATGGGCTGAAGTATTTCGCCGATTATTAATGATTAGTGCACACCACCACAGCAACGGCGACAACAACAACAACAACAACAACAACAACAACAACAACAATAATAACAGTAATAATTAAACTAGACTGGTCACCGAAGTGCTTAATCTTCATTTCTCATTAGTCTGTTTGAAGTCGCACTTGATCTGCAGAATCAATTCGTAGGCCTATATTATGATATGAAAGTGAAGTTTGCAGAGCGTTTCTTTTCATGGAGCCTTGCTCAACGGTGTGTGTAACAGGTGGAAAGCGTTAAGGCAATATATGCCCCTTTAGCTAATGTAAATCTAGGGGAAGGAAGATGAGGTTAATTTCCGATTTTATTCTCGCCTCCATCTTTTTTCCTATGCATGTATGCATGCATGAATGTCCTTTGAATCACGTATGAGTTCCGCCCCCTCTCACACAAACAAACACGCGGGCGAGAGAGAGAGAGAGAGAGAGAGAGAGAGAGAGGGGGGGGGGGGGCAGAGAGAAAGAGTTACCAATGACAAAGGCGGCTGGGAAATAAAGATTGGGAGAAGGGAAGAAGGAAGGAAAGAAGATAAATGAGATAGAAGATCACGGTAATCATCATATCACTAATAGCCTCCCTTTACTATTCACAGGCGTACCATGTCAGAACTGGTATTGGTAATTCTACTGGTGATAGGGGCTCTCTGTCCACTGGTACATTGTAGGACCTGTAAGTATAGGTGTAGCCTACTGTGACAGACAGTGATGAACGGTATTTTAACTTACATTTCCTATTAAACCGCTTCCAGGGTTACAGATTCAAGATAAGTATTTCACTGGCAGATGCAGGATTTTTTTTATTTTATTTATTTATTTATTTATTTATTTATTTATTTATTTATTTATTTTTTTTTTTGGGGGGGGGCATATAAACTTATTCGGGGATATTGTTGAAAATGATTTGATACAGATTACAGACATGTAAATATCTTACATATTAAACTAAAAGTACAAGATCTGTTGCAAGCTGATATTCCTTTTGCTTAGAATTCGTCAGAGGGTGGGGGCAGTAGTAAATTGTGTATCACTTTGACTACCGCCGCCATTTCTTGCTTCAGTTTTCGATCATGTTGCTTCAGTTTTCGATCTTACATGCATATGGCACCCTTACCTACGGTGCCTGCGGTAAGGGTACCGTGAATAAGGTCGAAAACTGAGGCAACACCATTCCTAAAGTAAGTTAAAAATTTGATCCCTTTCTGTAATGCAGATTATGCAGACGATTGCCCGACCCGCGTCCTCACCGTCTACGAATTTGCTTCAACAACAATCGAAGCGTGGCGGAGTTCGGGTGACACCATTTTCAGGTCGCCATCGATGTGCACCATAAACTTTGAAGCGGGTGTCGGGAGCCGCGTTGAAGTCAATTTCAGGGAGCTAAACATACCTTGTGGTGGTGGAACAAATATCGTGTTTTACGATGGATCTGACACGTCGGCAATCAAAGTAAGAACCTTTAATATTGCAGTTTTTTTTTCTTTTTTTTTTTTTTTTTGTGTGTGTGTGTGTGTGCCGTATGAAAATATATAGGGTAGAGAAGGGAATGGATTCATTCAACATCTTGACAGATTTGTTGTATAAAGCTAAATTCCACATAATTGGCCTAGGCGTCTCCCTGGCCCTAAGCAATATTTTCCAACTTTTTCACTAAATGGCAGTCTTATCCCTGGATAGTGGATTATAAGATGTCAAAATATTAAGTGTTTAATTCTTTGCTTTTTTTCAAGCTATATAAACACAAGCATTACGTATATATATATGCTAAGATGATGTAAAATGGAAGCACGTATATTTGAAAAAGAGCACATCCCGGTGCTATTACTTATTTGAAATTCGGTTTATTTTCTACAGATCACGACCATCGAGTGCTCGTCGCCTCTGCCAGATCAATTTCTGAGTTCCGGGCCATATCTTACAGCTGAAATTTTCCCTGGCATTAGCACAAGCTACGATTTTAGATTTTCAGTTTATGAAAGACGTGAGTATCATTATTTATTTATTTATTTATTTTTTTTTTGTTTTTGAATTTTATTTTTAGATTTCAAGAACTTATTGTATCTAATCCTAAATAATAACTGACCCTGATTTTATATGTAGATGGCAACTAGCTGTGTTTATTAAAAGGTTTGTGCATTGTGTTTGTGTTGGTCAGAGTCAAACAATAGTGTGAGTAGTAATCAACTTGTCATCTCCATGTTTTTAACGGAAAACGTGGGTTGACTCTCGCTTTGTTTTTTTCCATTCATTCGCTCACCCACTCTTTAAAATTCTTTCTCTCTCTCTCTCGCTCTCTCTCTCTCTATTGTACAAACAGTGTCCAAACACACTCTCAAACACACACACACACCTTTCACTTGTGCCCTCAGTTAACACTCATCACCTCAGTCAACAAACCAACCATCACTTTAAATTCATCCGATTTCTGACCCATCCTGGAAATTCCATCAAAATCCATCCCAAACTGTTTGAGTTAGGCCGGTGACAAACAGACCATCAAACAGACAAACGGAGGTGAAAACATCACCTCCTTGGAGAAAGTATTTTAAAATGACATTGTTATTAATTACCGGTTGCAGCCCCAGGTGTCTGCGATGACGGCAGTTGTACGGGAGACGGGAAGCTGGAGGTAACAACTATCCTGAAGATCGTAGGAGCGGCAGTCGGGGTGCTCGTCCTCATCGGTATCATCATATGGTTTATCATACGATACAGAAAACAGGCACGCGAGAGGAGGAATAACATGGCTTCTCGGCAACAGAGAGAGCAAGAATTCCTGGCTACGTACCAGGCGGAACACCCCGAAGCACAGGGTACGGGAGGTAAGTTGCATTACTCGTCCAAAATCGGGCGATTTCGTATCTGTTTGGTTCACGGAAAAGGTCGAGCGGTTCCGAATGGAGGTTTACAGGAAACGTGGTGTCAAAGAAACCTTCATTCCTCCAAGAGATTAAATTAGATAATTAAATTAGTTTAAAATGCATCTATTCAGATCTACTGTGTTTAGTAAAATGTCCGAGCTCTCGGCTTGCTTCCTTCTTCAGGGACACACCAAATATGCCAAACACAGGAGATCTTTATAGGGCCTAGATGCATTTAAATTTAACTTATTTATTTCTTATATACAAGATTTATACGGCGATTTATGATGCGCCCAAGAGAGACGTACCCCTGCAAAACCATACAATTGATTACCAAATTTACATGTAGAGGAATTCTCTTGAATTAATACTTTCCTCTTAAATAATTTATATTGACGGGCTGTAATGCTTTTTGGATATTGAATATGTGTTGATAAATGTAACAAAATGCTTAGTGACACATGGACATCTGTACATAGACATCTGTTATTTGTCAAACCACGCTTATTTTGTTAATTTTACATTCTAGCACCCGACACAAAAGTAAACAACCTACCTCCCACTTATGCTACAGCGACGGATCCAAACTATGGATATCCGAAACAGGCATAATATGGGCCTTCCTGTGGAGATATTGCAGCACGAGGGCGTATTATTATATCCCAAGGAAATCAAAATCGGATCAAAACTCTTCATACGTACCTGCTTCTGGCATTGATAACAGTTTTCAATTTTTGAGTGGAGTCTTATTGGAAAGAGATCTACTTCAGTTACAACAACATTTTTAAATACATTTTATAGCAGTAAATGTTTGCTCGAAATGAGCTGAAAAACTCAGGGCACCGGGAAAACTGCAAATGACACTACATAAGATAGCTTGCCTTTTGCGCTATCAGACTTAGTTTGCTCATAACGGGAAATTGCTGCTAGATGCCACAACTGTGACCCTTCACTTTTCATCTCATTTTACCCCTTTCCTTATATTTTGAAAGCGAAGTGAGTAAAAAAATACATGTTAGCTGCAATTAGAGGCTTTATTAACCCAGTTTTAATTAATTTTACATTGTAAGACATCCACAGTTAGCTACATCCTAGTCTTTTGATGCTTGTGAGAATTTATTATTTACATCCAATATTGTTTATCGGTAGTGATGCGGGTTATATATAATTGTTATATGTTGACAGGGAAGTACAGCGAGCAGCTGGTCTCCCACAGCGTCGTAAGTACCCATTTAAGAATCTCTCCTTTTTCCCTTAATATGTGTGAGAACAAAGTATATTTAACGAATTCAACAAGGCAAAGCCTAGCAATATTTCCGCTTTTGGGCCCTATATATTATTGCTCCTAAAACTGTCCCCATCCTGTTTAGCATTTGCCTTCTTTGCCTGCTATATTTTTATTCCCTCCCCTCCCCTCTTTTAGCAATATTCTAACTCCCTGGGGGTCCACGCTAAATTGCAGTCAGACGAGCGCGCACCGTAGTTAATGGCCCCTTTACAGCTTTTAGTAGGCGGGACAGACGCTTTAGCCGGCTAAGCTGACAGTAATCTAGTGACTCCCCACAGGGATAGATCGATCTAAAATTTATGGAAATGGGGTCTAAGTCTGTCGGTGTGACAGGAATGGAGGTCCGCTGGGAACCGTAGTCCCATTACTTTGTACAGGTGATATTCATCTTATATAGTAACCCCTAATCAAATGGGACCCCGGATTTCCATTCTTAGGACTACCATTCCCGCCACACTGGCAATATGTGACAGCAGCTTTTATTTGGTTTATAAAATTATAGAGTGATCAAGGTACAAGACTATCTGGTTCTTTGTTCTATTAGACGTAAAATAAATATCGGTTTTGTTGATTTTTCAAGATAGAAAGGGTTAGAAATGGATATCTATCGTCGTTTCTCCACAGAATGTATTAGGAGGGATCACGTGGAATGTAGAAGCATCTTTTGCTGTGATTATAAAGCATAGTGAATTAATGGGTTATCTATGTAATGAGCACAAAATTTTACTATAAGACAACACGCCTTCATTAGGAAGGTGAATGCAGTTAGTTTTAACTGAAAACTAAATATTAACTCGTTAAGGCCGGTGAACTTAAGTTTGACTTGAGGAAAATATTTTCTCAAAGGTATCCAGGCACAAGTCCTACATGAAAATAGCAGGTGAATGTGAAAGAAGGCACAAATGACAGTGGACTTTTTACGGAACATATTTTAGTTTTTATTGTCTGCTTTCTGTACACCAGTATAGAAGGGATTATAATTTTAACATATTTTAAAGATGTGTTTTTTATTATTTGTTTCAAAGTTTTATATAAGCGACAGTGCAAGAATATGGTATTTGTTATGCTGTTATTTCTCCATGATTTCCTAGAAGAATGTATGGTCTTAACTCACTCTCCATAATTAATACCCAATCTGAGTGCAGACCACATTCAGCAACTTCTATAAATAAACATATGTCAAAGTTACTTTAAAGCTTGTATTTCGTTTGCTTTTTGTTATCTTTTGTATATCAAAATGAATAAAGACTGAAATATTTACAGGAACCAGAAAGTCGAAGTGCATGCTGTTTAACAAGTGTGACCAATTATGTTATCCATACTTTAAATTTCGAAAATATAAGAAGAAAACTATTTTGAATTGGCATTTCTACGCTGGGCTGATACAATTATGATTTTTTATTGCTAAGGTCATTAAAAAACGATTTGATTTAATATTGAACACTAAATTGAATAGCCTACAGTCCATGCCATGCCCAAGCTTATCTAAAATAATAATAAGAAAAAGCATAACTTCACATTCAAAAGCCAAGTTGTAATACAGAGAACTTACAAACTGGTTTCTATCGACACTCACTAACTGCCCAAGAAAAAGATCGAAACCTATTAACAACTTTCGCACCTTTGATTACGTAGATAATGAATGGCGATGTCTTATTGATTGGTGCAATAGTGTTTCCTTGGTGTTGGATATATAATAATAGTTTCTTCAAAAAGAAAACACTATAAATGATTTTCTTATTCATATACAATGCATTGGATTTTTTTTAATATGGTTCATTGGAGTTTCACAGAACATAATACAGTATAGCACATTGTGTATGAAAGAACATTGTTCATGTACAAAAGAAAATTATAGATTAAAAGGAAATCCAAAGTCACTCTAATTTTGAGTCTGGTGCAGATCTAAACGTTAAAATCGTTCAATGATTACAGTAAACAGTTTAAAATATGTTCATTTCTAAATAACAAATTTAAAGAATACTTCTTGCTCACAGTAATAAAAAGTGCATTTGAGAATAATTTGGAAGCCATTTTCTATACCATTCAAACGACATAGTTTGCAAAGTTTTATTTGATTTTGGAGAACCCCTCATATTCTTCAGCCAAATCTGTAGTATGAGAGTTTAAAATGTGTAATATGTTGCTTATATATTGAGTGTATTGGCTTGGTCAAATAATAGTGAATATCCACATCATCAATTCAGCAATCAAATGCCTTCGACACTATTGGCGAACGCGCAGTACAACAGAGGTGCTAACTAGGCGTATCCTGTGCCTCCACCTGTTAACACTAGAATAATAGGTTTTCTGAATCTATCTAAATCCAACATATTTGTATTAGAAAAGCAGCGGTAGGAAGATTCATTATCATCAAGTGAACCTGGAATGGCGTGCACCGCACCAAAATGCGTGGTGAAGATTGGCATAGAGCTCAATGAATCTATAATATAATGACAATATATAAGGCGCGAACGTCGCTATTGCAACATTGGGTATCGATCTTACTGAAAGGACAACGACCAGTGTTCACGAGGAGGTGATAACATGGGAAACATGACAAATATTTCGGAATACAGGTACTTCCAAGGCGATGAAAATGGTACCCGGTTCAATCCATGTGAAAGGTTGGCACTTTGCATTTCGTTTGTGGTGTTTGAAATCATCATTTCGCTTGTCGCTGTTTTCGCCAACGCCTTAGTCATCATTTCTTACGCCAAATTCAAATGGCTGCGATCTTCAACCAACACGATTTTTGTGAGTATGTCTGTTGCAGATATCCTATCCGGCCTACTTACCCCGTATCATTTTGTGGCAAGTTATTTCATGTACATGGTACCCCGCCTCCAAAGCCTCTCAACCAATAAGTACTTCTGTATCGGAAAAGTAACGCTATTTGCAGCAATGTGCCTCACATCTTTGCTTCATCTTACGTTCGTGGCAGTGGAAAGGTATCTCAAAATATGCCGGAATTCTACATACCTGCGTATACTGACAAGGAAAACATTAAACACCTGCTTGATCAGTTGCTGGGTTTACATTATAGCCTTGTGCTCTTTGCCGATATTTGGACTCAACTCATGGTCACCAGAGAAACAATGCAGAGTCACTGAGGTAATCGAGAGCGCAACGTTTTACATCTATACACCCCATATTTTGGCGTGTTTACTTTTATCCTGCGGGTGTTACATTGCTATATTTCGCAAGGTGCGCCGACACGATATCCAAGTAAACCATCTTTCTTCGCCGTCCCCTGCCTTGCCAAATCCCGCACCAGCAGGCGGTTGTGACAACCCATCGTTTCATCCGACCTCTAGATTGAGAGAATCGGACACTTTGAAACGAAAATTTGATACTTCTGGCGGGAGCCTAGAAAGACCCGATTCTATCAATTCCCCGAAGAAGGAAAACAAACTGGAAAAAAGACGCAAGAATGACAGGAATCCCACGAAGGAGCCGACACAAACTATTATAACAGACTTATTCCAAACAAGGAATCTCGAAACTTCCGCCGGGGTTATTATTACTGTCACAGAAGCGCAACCACTGGGTAATGTTACAAAGGGATCCACTCACAGAATCACCGCTTGGGGAGACGACAACAAGAGAATAGAAACGCCGCGTGTCCTAGTTCAGAATTATGAAATTACTTCAATGGCTGGGGATACAAACACTAAGCCGGTGGAAGATCTGGCTGTGTCCGGTCCATCTACATCTCGTTATCACTTAGACGCCAGCACATCGAGTCAATTACAAACAAGGACATCTTCGGAGCCGCTGTCTCATGGCACTTTAAGACACCTACCCAAAAATGGCAGAAAATTGCAAATCAAAGTGGCAAAAATGGCATTTGTGACATTGATTGCGTGCTTTGTACTGTGGACACCAGTGACAGTTGTCCAAGCGTTGCAGAACAGAGGATTGGATGTCGAGTCCGAGATATTTATTATACTTCGAAACATTGCAGTGGATCTTGTAGTTGTCAGTTCAGCAATCAACCCGTTTATTTACGCAATGATGGACTATAGATACAAAAAGGCCTTGTCTCTGTTGTTTCCATATAGAATAAAATGTATTAAGTAAGCAATGGTCACTGTACACAGACTGCCCATTGATTATTCACTTTTTAAATTTAGTTTTAAACAACAGTTTGTAATCGGTACTTTACATATAATAAACTTTTAAATAGAAATATTACCACCTGATCCGTGCCTTTAGGAAATTTCTCATAGAGTTAGCGGATGCTTTTATTCATATGCCAACAATGGAACTGATTTTGAACAAATCCACTTTTAGACGTGAGAAAGTAAACATCTTCATCATTGCCATTGTTGTATCATGGAAATAAATTTAAATATATATTGAGATTGCCACGATAAGTGTTATCTGGAACAATAAAACACTATCTAAAATGCTTCTCAGCTGTGACTTGATAATTTGTAAACAATTACGAATTTCTCGAACATTTAGGACATATTTGATTCTATGACAGTAAGCTTTTAGACGAATATGCTGTGTGGTTTAATATTTTTGGTGATCGCCATAATTGGCATGAACATCATAAATATTGAGTGAACGCAATCGAAGCCTTGGTTAAAGGACGTCTTGGCAATATAAACACTCATGTAATAACGTAAAATTTCCACCAAATTTCACGTGTATTTCTCATGAATATGAAGGCATACATAACTTAAATTTGTCGAGAAAGAAAGATTTAGTGC